ACATACATACATATATATATACATACATATACATACATATACATATACATATATATATACATATACATATATATATACATATATATATACATATACATATATATATATATATACATATATATATACATATACATATATATATACATATACATATATACATACATATATATATACATATATACATACATATATATATACATATATATACATATACATATATATATATATATACATATATATATACATACATATACATACATATACATATATATATACATATATATATACATACATATACATACATATACATATATATATACATACATATATATATTTATACATACATACATATATACATACACATACATATACATATATATATATATATACATACATATATATATATACATACATATATATATATATACATACATACATACATATATACATACATATACATATACACACACATATGGCTTCATCCTTGAGTTTGGAAAATGTTTAATCAAACCTGATGCGTTTGCTGTGTATTCTTCTTCATTGAGATATGATATTACTGATAAATACTACATATAAATAGTGCATGTTTTGGTGTCTCTGCAATAAAAAGAAAAACAAAAAAAGAGAAGTGGAACACGCTGAGGCTGAGAGCTGCGGCGCTGGAGAGGTTTATATTGTAGGGATTGTGTTGTTGGTTGTGTGCTGCGCTCATCTGTGCGTCAAGCAGCGGCAGCAATAACAAGGTGCGCGCAGCTGTGCGTGCAGGTGCGCGGACTCCACCTGCTCAACGGAACAGAGAGTGGGAGAGGGGAAAAGAAAGGAGAGAGAAAAGAGAGGGGGGAGGAGGGAGAGAGAGAGAGTGCAGCTCAAAAGCATTGGTTTTCGATGGGGCAGAGACATGCATGGGATAATCGCCCAAATTCACGTCGTGTCTTATCAACCTTTAAACGCGCAAAAGAGAGTTGGTGATATTGGCGAAACACATTACAGGTGAAAAGTTCACGAGGAACAGCGTCTATTCGATGGTCGGTTTTCAAAAAAAACTTTAAACTGTGAACCCTTCAGCTGACACGCCCTTCTCAAAGCGCCACATGAAAAGTTATCGAATGTCCCAAACAAAGTGATCTGGTGTTTCGCACCTCTTTGCTCTGAAACATCATCTGAGAATTACATTTTTTTTTAAAGGAGGTTTGATGAAGCCATTGTGGAGAAGTTCATGGAGGATGCTGTTAATGCCGTCCAGGTAAACACGACCGAACAAAGAGAGCAGGACCAGACACGCACAATACATTTGCCTGAAAAGTTACACTAAATATTTCTGCCTATAGTCAGAATTTGTTTCCAAGAGCGTTTCATCACGTTTTCAAGATGGAGACAAATATGGAACCCTCATCATCCATTTGTTCCTGGCTTCACGTTCTACTGCCCAATTAGCAGTTAGAGGCAGGTTACCGTCTGTACGTCCGCAGACCTCCGCAGACACTTTATGAGGTACCGTTACTTTTTTTCCCCTTCTTCTCTCCCTTGAAACTGTCTGCGTGGGTCACGTAAACTTTCTATTAGTCTGCCTTGTCTGGTGCGTTCAGGGACAACAAAGGACAACAAAACTAACAAACAAGACTCACGTGAGAGTGGTGCGGCTCCACAATTCAATTAAAGTGCGTATATTTGTGACAGGAATGTGCGCGACCAAATCGCATTTAGACATCCATCAATAGAATACAAATGCACTCTGACATACACGACGGGTTGTTGTTTGTCCTCTCACACCAACGTGCAAATAATGCCGCCACAGGAAATAAAGTAGCTAGTGTAGATAGAAATAAAAAAGAATGAACTTGTGCTGCAGCGAAGTTGAAGACATGTGGAGGGAAACCTGAGAGGGAGACGCGACGACAGATGGACACTTGAGGTAAAAAAAAACGGAAAAAAGTTGCAGAGACTTTTTCTGTCGGTCTGTAACGAGTCTCATTACCATGCCACCCCTCCTCCTCCCCGACACTCTTCCTCACTCCTGGCAACAGCAGACAAAGCGGGCGGGTTTTTAGTGGGGCCGGTCAAGCCTTTGATCTGAGCCCGTTAAGGAGAAGGATGTCTCGAGGGAAGTCGGGCCAAGAGGAGGGCTAAGCAGGAAGGTAAAGTGCACCTCAAAATATTTCAACCTACAATTGAATGAAATATCATCTGACTTGTACTTGACGACTTCTTTTTTATTTTAATGGGACAAATAAATCCTAATTTGCATATAGCAGACACCTCTGAGGGTAAGATAAAAGTCTGCTTTATTTTTGGTTATTCTTCTTCTTTTTGTTGTTGTTGTTGCTGACTGCAGATGATAATAACCCGCCAGGTAAACACACACCGGGCTGCCCGGACTTCAAAAGAAACGGACCTTCCAAGAACTGAACTCTGCAAGAAGCACGAAGGGCCTTCAAGCACACAGAGAGAGGCCTGGGCAAATTAGGTGGGTTGAAAATAAATAGAGACGGACGCCTCCCCGCCCATCACCTTATGCTACTCATGTTGCAGGTGGGCTGCAGCTGCATCATATTAATACACCTGTCTGGTGCTGGCGATGAAATATTGACTAAATTTCACCTGAAGGGGCAAAAACAAGAAAAAGAAAAAAGAGAAATACCTGAATGAACAAAATCATTTCTAAGAAAAATATATTTTGTTTCCAAAATATATTTTGTTTCGTGTAAAGATCGTGAGCTTTACACGAGGTCTGTTGGAGGTGTGGTTTTATCACTGCATCAGCAACAACAACAAAAACACGTATGTCACGATATGAAGGTGAAAGTTTGGATTGAACATCTCTGATCGTGATCCCCGCCGCCTGCGTCCCATCGGACTCCTCGCTGACGGGGACACTCAGACAAAAGGCTTTTCTCAAATGAAGTTAGTAATGGTCCACATGTGCCCGATCACTCAGGCAGCACAGACAGGCCGCGGTGAATTTCATATCACGCAAACGCACTGGAGGAGAACAAAGAGGAGGCTGGACATGCGCCTGTCATCAGAGGGGAAATAAAAGGGTCTGCGGGTGTATCTTTTTATTACATTTTTATTAAAAGACCGACTGCTTTTTGTGGTTTCTGAGGAAAATATCAAAGACATATTCAGAGCTGTGTGTGACAGAAAATGACACAAACAAGATGAATAAAAGTAAAGGTTGGAGATTTTAATAACAGTCCAATTAATCCACCATTTATATTATCATTATTATTTTTATTCTAAAATTACATTTCGAAAAAAAGGGTATTCAGTTTTCTAGCAGCTTAATTATTTCCTCTTTTTAAAATTCTACAACCCCAAAATACTTATCTCAAAAAGAAAGTATGAGAATGAATCTTTTCTTTTTTTAATTCAAAGCCTTATTATTATTTTGGAAAGCAATAATTGATAATAATAATTAAAAAACCCTGTCCTGCCTGAGGGCTGGGATATCCTAAAAATGAAGGAGTGACAGTAGCAGCTCCTCAGAACATGACGGCCTATTGGAGCCACTTTGAAAGCGTTCGAACCCATTTAAACAATACTCCTAAATATTGAAACAGAGTTAATTAGCCTAAACTAAATGTTTTAATGTTGATCGGCTCCGCGCACGTTCCATTTCAAGGCATCTCTTTGGGCTAATAGGTTTACACTTCTCAAACTGTGCTGCAGCTGCAATAACGAGGTATTTTTATTGCTTTTGAATACTCTTCCGCCGCAATTACTTTGTCATATATTGTCATTAGAAGTCTATTAAAACATCAAGTCATTATTCGGGGCGTCCCCGGGCGAGGAATTAGAATAAAACCATCTCTGCCACACGGGTCCCATTTAGATTAATGGAAAAATATGTAAAACATTTCGTTTTAATTTTCCTCTGACAGTGTTTTGCATACATGCATTTTCTCCTCCCCCCCTCGTAATTTATGAAAGCAATCTCGACCAGCACATTACCGGTCTCTGAAATACTGCTCGCAGCCTAATTGATTCCCGTCACAATTTCTGGTGAGGTTATAATCGTGTTAATTGTAATTTACTCTCTCGGGTGAGTACCGGATGTGTTTAAATTAAAAAAAAAAAGAAGAAGTGCCGGGGCCGGACTGGAGATTATATGGGGCTCCACGCATAATAGAAATGTCATGTAGAATTACACAGCGGAGGCGGACAGGGGACGCATTCCTCTAATCTACAGAGATGTCACCGGAAATCTCTCGCGGGAGATTTTTATTCATCCGCGAGCGTTGATTGAATGGCGAAGTCTTCGCGGTGAGTTCTAGAGAGACCAAAGGACGTTTGTTTTACCTTTAAATCTGAGAAGGAGGGAGGGGATATCACATAAGAGCATGATTATGTGGATGGAACGAAAGGAATGATAATAAACACGTGTCAAAGGAACCACTGGGGGGGATGTTGCGTCTTGATGAGAGTATAAACTGGACTGATGACTTCCTGGTCATCCTCAGAACAGTTGCCCTTCTCCTTACTTCCCCCTGTCTGATGTCTCCCCCCAGCTTCAGAGATCCTCCTTCCTGACTGCAGGGGGGGAGAGACACCTGTTGGTGCAGAGTGGCACAAGTTGTCCCATTCAGACTTGGCCTCCTCCACCACTCGAGTTCACCTGGTGAGCCTCTTTTGCGACTCGAGAGTGCAGCACGCCCTGTGTGTCGAGAGGGACTTTCTGCAGCTCTGCTGCACTGGAATGGACATCTTAAAAGCACTAAATGATCTGACTGGTCAATGTGAGACAACTCTCTTTTTATTTCGACACAATGATAGAGGCAATACCTGGTGTGGAAACATGAAAATCGAATGAGGGCGAAAACTGCACTTTCATTCTTTCAAATCAAAAGAGAACTGTTATCCTGCGACTCTCTCCGCATTTATTTCGGATCGGATTGCAACGAGACTCAGCTGCAACAAATGATGAATCGATGAAAGTTCAAAATGTCACACTGAAGTGCTTCATAATCCCAAAACAAGACACATTACGATGTCAGCAGTCGGTACAGGCTACTCACAATCTACAAATGTCATGCACAAGCTGAAGAAACATCTCTTTTAAACATTACACCATTTAAGCCTCGACTTTGAGATACAGCTCATCCAACATCTATTTCAAAAGTTCAGCAGAGCCTCACAAACTGGCTCTGCACTCACAACAATGATTGTGGATTTATTTCATGAAAGTCACACATAATGGCAGTTTTGTCCACCAACCTCAGGGCGTAATGGTAGATTGGGCGAAAACAAACAAACAAGCTGGATGTGAATTACTGACAGACAGACAGAAAAAAAACAAAAAAATATCGGGTGAGAGAAATATGTGGCCGGATGCCAAAGAGACAGCTTACTGTTGGGGTCTTTGGCGAGGGCGCAAGAGTGGCTTCGATCTTTTTTTTTTTTTTTTGTCTGGCCTGGCCTGGCACAGACCACAGCCCTGCCCCAGACACAATAGATAATACAGTACTAGGGAGAGAGAGGGGGGGGGGGGTGAGTGGACGAGGTGGGTTAGGGGAGGCACGGTGCCTTTTCATTACCATGGTCACCAATGGCACTATTAACCATTCAACACCCCCCCAATTATCCTCCCATCCACAGTCGGAGAGACAAAGCATGGGCCCCGGACTGCTGGAGCAACATGGCCACTAATCTGTCTCACTCCAACATCACACCCACTTCACTGTCTCTGGAAGTCACAACGTGCATGAGCCCTCCACGGAGCGCCCATGGTACTTGTTCTTTTCTTTTTTTTTGTTGACGGCATGACCTGAACTCGTCTAGTAGTTCGATTTTTTTAAATATATATATATAAATAAAAGTGACCTTTTTCAAACTGTGGAAGAGGAAGATGCTGATGAAAAAAACAACAACTCGGAAACAATGAGCTGAACATTAACTCTTATGCGCTGAATGAGAGATCAGGTAAAGAACACTGGCAGCGTGTATGCAGTGTTTACTCTTCGTACAGGTCGTGGTGTGTCCGACTCCACACGCCTTCTCCATCAAGACCGCAGGCTCACAGCTGCCACAGGGCGAGCCGCATGTCTTTACTAAGGAGGCTGACACACACACACACACACACACACACACACACACACACACACACACACGCAGACAAAAAAAGCTAAATCGTGAGTTTACGCACTTCAATCTGGGTTTTTTTTGTTTGTTTTTTAGGACTTTGATGTCTACGAGTCAAGCCTATATAGGCAGGAGGGCTGAGGCCTGACTGGGGGCCTAATGAATAGATCCACAACAGTGGCTTGTTGTGTTTGTTTACCCTTTCGCCCAGCTGCCACGACCGTGGGGATGGGAGAGCATTCATCAGGACCTTGGAGAAATGCGAGGCATGGTCTCACACACACTAGAGAATGACATGATAGCACACGCACACACACTGCAGAGTGTGCCAAAGTTACCATTTGAGAGGCTACCGTAACTACATGTGCAGATTTCATGTCGCTGAAAAACATCTGAAGGCACATTTGAAACATAAACAGGACGACAGCAACAAAAAGCCAGAACTTTACCGCGACTGGCATCGCAGTGAAAACATTTCCAAAATTTTTAATAACCTAAATTAAAAGCAGCGTCCGCACAGTTCATAAGCTTTCGAGGTGTCGTCGTGAAACCTGCAACGGCTCCCGCTTCCCCGTCCGAGTTCAAAGCAGCTTCTTCCCACCGGTCAGTCGCGTCGTTTCTCCGGCACCGCGGCGGACAGCACGAGGATGTTCCGCGCCTGCTTCACCGAGGGCATGTCGATCATGCTGCCGCGGAAGGTGAACGCGCCCTGAACAGGTTCACAACAGGGGCGAGAGCACAAGGAGCAACGTCAGACCAGACAAGCATGGTAAAAAGTCAGGTGAAGGATGGGCGTTTGCAGATGCAGGAAGTAGATCACTGTGCTAAAAAACACACCAAAGCCACTTTATACTTTAACTACTTTGTGTGTATGGGGATGTAGCATATAAAGATGTTTTAATCCATGGTAATCAACACTAAAACCCATCAACGCAAATATAAAGTTGCACTTGCAAATGGACCAAGCAGTGTGTAAGTGCACAAATGCAGTCAAGTGTACCTTTAAAAAAATGGCAAGAAAAAAAAATAAAAAATGAGAAAAAAACCCACATGAAGAACAGTGAATTACACATCATCTGGTATTATATACTACTTTGAAAGATCTCCAAGAAACCTCAGGTCAGACAAATGCAGTCAATAGCTGGAGGTGAGAATTATGAAAAACAAGCACCTGTCGTGTTGCGAGACAAAGGGACTGACCCTGCTCGCTGTTCAAACACACACACACACACACCCACACACACACACACACACACACACACAGACACACACACGCACGCAGAGCGGCAGAGGGATGGGTAGGATATGAATCCCTCAGGCAATGCTTAGTGGGAGCAGCCCTGGCAGGGAGAGAGGTGTGGGCAGATTGTGTATTACCTCAGCAGATAGCCCACAGAGCTCAGCACACAGGATCCAACCATGCACCAAATTAGGAACAATAATATTGTACACTTAATTGGCCCAACTCCACCCCCCACCCCTCTGTCCCCTATGTCGTCTTCAGAGAGTCACCCAGGGGTGTACAGTATGTATTCTCTGGAACTACAGAGGTGTGTGAGAGGGCACACAAAAGGATCAGCCCGGGGCCTCAGAGCAGAGGAAGACTCCGGTCATCCCAACACAAGTCACATTTTAAGTTTTATATATACAGTGGGTACGGAAAGTATTCAGACCCCTTTAAATTTTTCACTCTTTGTGTCATTGCAGCCATTTGCTAAAATCAAAAAAGTTAATTTTATTTCTCATTAATTACTCAGCACCCCAATCTTGACAGAAAAAAAACAGAAATGTAGAAATTTTTGCAAATTTATTAAAAAAGAAAAACTGAAATATCACATGGTCATAAGTATTCAGACCCTTTGCTGTGACACTCATATTTAACTCACATGCTGTCCATTTCTTCTGATCCTCCTTGAGATGGTTCTACTCCTTCATTGGAGTCCAGCTGTGTTTAATTAAACTGATTGGACTTGATTAGGAAAGGCACACACCTGTCTATATAAGACCTTACAGCTCACAGTGCATGTCAGAGCAAATGAGAATCATGAGGTCGAAGGAACTGCCCAAGGACCTCAGACAGAAATGTGGCAAGGCACAGATCTGGCCAAGGTTACAAAAGAATTTCTGCAGCACTCAAGGGTCCTAAGAGCACAGTGGCCTCCATAATCCTTAAATGGAAGAAGTTTGGGACGACCAGAACTCTTCCTAGACCTGGCCGTCCAGCCAAACTGAGCAATCGTGGAAGAAGAGCCTTGGTGAGAGAGGTAAAGAAGAACCCAAAGATCACTGTGGCTGAGCTCCAGAGATGCAGTAGGGAGATGGGAGAAAGTTCCACAAAGTCAACTATCACTGCAGCCCTCCACCAGTCGGGGCTTTATGGCAGAGTGGCCCGACGGAAGCCTCTCCTCAGTGCAAGACATATGAAAGCCCGCATAGAGTTTGCCAAAAAACACATGAAGGACTCCCAGACTATGAGAAATAAGATTCTCTGGTCTGATGAGACCAAGATTGAACTTTTTGCCGTTAATTCTAAGCGGTATGTGTGGAGAAAACCAGGCACTGCTCATCACCTGCCCAATACAATCCCAACAGTGAAACATGGTGGTGGCAGCATCATGCTATGGGGGTGTTTTTCAGCTGCAGGGACAGGACGACTGGTTGCAATTGAAAGAAAGATGAATGCGGCCAAGTACAGAGATATCCTGGAGTGCTCTGGACCTCAGACTGGGCCGAAGGTTCACCTTCCAACAAGACAATGACCCTAAGCACACAGCTAAAATAACAAAGGAGTGGCTTCGGAACAACTCTGTGACCATTCTTGACTGGCCCAGCCAGAGCCCTAACCTAAACCCAATTGAGCATCTCTGGAGAGACCTGAAAATGGCTGTCCACCAACGTTCACCATCCAACCTGACGGAACTGGAGAGGATCTGCAAGGAAGAATGGCAGAGGATCCCCAAATCCAGGTGTGAAAAACTTGTTGCATCATTCCCAAGAAGACTCATGGCTGTACTAGCTCAAAAGGGTGCTTCTACTCAATACTGAGCAAAGGGTCTGAATACTTATGACCATGTGATATTTCAGTTTTTCTTTTTTAATAAACTTGCAAACATTTCTACTTTTCTGTCAAGATGGGGTGCTGAGTACATTAATGAGAAATAAAATGAACTTTTGATTTTAGCAAAAGGCTGCAATGAAACAAAGTGAAAAATTTAAAGGGGTCTGAATAGAGTGTGTGTGTGTGTGTGTGTGTGTGTGTGTGTGTGTGTGTGTGTGTG